GGCCTGGCTGCGGCCACCACCTTCGGAGTGGAGGTCACGGGCATCAGCAACACGATGCTCGCGCAGGCACAGTCTCAGTATTTGGCCGCGGCAGGTCCTAGGTGCGCCTCAAGGAGCCGTACTCTCGCCCTCCTCATCCTCCAGGACCCCCTGTGGAAAGCGGGCCCCGGGCCCGCGCTCATGTGGCACCGTCTCGTCTGGGAGGCCCATACCCTTCCTGACAAGGATGTGGTCAGTCTCCAGCAACTCAGCTACTGGGGTGAGGCTATGTTGCCGAGGGTTTCTAAAGCGTGGGGCCCCTGTAGGGGCCCTCTCAGTGCTGCGGCCCTTTCGTTGGCCAGAGTGGGTTGGTCGTTCCAGGGGCCCTTTAGGTTTGTGACCCCTGCAGGACTTGAGTACCCCCTCCCAGGACCCCCCCCCCCCAGCCTACATTGCCAAGCAGCTCGAGATTGCCTGGCACGACCGCCTCGCAGAGCGGGCCGCTGCCAAGATGGGTTTTCAAGGAGAGCGGCTGGATGCCGCAGCACCATGCACCATCTTCAGGTCAGACGACGTGACCAAGCAGCAGCGCGGCACGTTGCTGGCCTTTGCCACACAGAGTATTTGGACTATGGAGCGTGCCCTATCAGCGGGATACGACGTGCCCCAAGGTTGCCCATGTGGACACCACAAAGACGACCTCCAACATCGCCTCCTGGAGTGCCCCAAGACCGCCAACGCCAGAGAAGTGTTCGATAGTGGGGAGCTTCGTAGGTTGAAAGACCCGATCTCTGGCACCTCCCCCCTCCACCTCGGCTTCCAGTTTAAACCCGATTTCGTGGGCTCCCCCCCCTCCTGGCACTGGCCTTGAAACCGCCCAGTTCTGGTGTCGAGACCCTCATTTAAGGCTTGAGGAAGCGTTCAAAGGGGATGTGTTTATTGACGGCAGCTGTACGAATCACGGCCACTATGATTTCAATGCGGCAGCGTTTGCTGTAGCGTGCATGGTTGATGGTGAAGAGTTTGCCACCTTCAGTGGCCGCGTTGGGACCCTGGGATCCCAAACCTCGGGGGCGGCTGAGCACCTCGCAGCCGTGGCGGCGGGTAGACTCTCGAGCCAGGTTGCCAGCGTTTATACTGATTATAAAGGAGTGCTGCAGTTGCATGGGGAGGCAGGTTATCCTCGCCGTAACCTGTGGTCTGGTTGTAAAGTCCTCGCAGGAGGGGGTTTCTTTGACCTCGGCCCCAAGCTCCAGAAAGTCAAGGCCCATCAAAATCTGGAGCTGCTGCCACCCGACAGCGAAGAATATCGCATAGCCAGAGGCAACGATGCCGCCGACAGGATTGCCAAGGCCGCCGCGAACCTTGGCAGCCAACCCAGTACTAACGAGACAGACCAGTATCAGAGTGACACTGCTCTGCTCAAGAAATATCTCCGATATATTTCCAAAGCCCTTGGAGAGTGGCCAGCGATTGCCCCACGTAGGAACAAGGCACTGGCCAAGCCTGTTAAAGAGCCTCTCCCCACCCTCGGGGGCTGCCTCAGCCCTGGCCTCTTGGGGCCAAGGTGCGCGTGACCCTGCGGCCCCTGGTGCCCCTCCTCCTCCGAGGCCCCCCCCCCCCCTCGCCTCCGAGGCCCCTGGGCCCCACAGGACCCACCAGTGGCACCAGGAAGGTTCCAGCTGGCAATGTTCTGCGTGCAGACAGAGGTGTGGAAGCACCCAAGTAAGACAACGTCGTGAGAAGGAGGTTTGTCCTGGGCACTGTGCACTGCACAGTGATTTGCTCATCAACCCGAAAGGACACCTCCCATATTTCTTCGGTTTTGTGGACGAATCTATCCCCTCGAGTATCATCATGTGCTGGAAGTGTGGATGCTTCGCCGAGAGCACTCGAGGACCAGGGTTTCAAGCTACATGCCCAGAGTCCCCGCCTAACCACGGTCGCAAGCTGCAACGACAGCGAGCCATGGAGGGGCGACACCCCAAAGGTGCGGCCTTTTCCCCGATAAATTTGAAAGCTCCCATCCCCTTGGCTCAGCTAGCCCAGGAACTAGCTGATGCTGACGCTGCCAGCTTCAATGCAAGCCAGCAGAGCAGTGTCGAGAGCTAGCCAAGGGCGATTCCGCCGTGTTCACGAAAGCCCCAACCCAGGGGATGCGGATTTCACGCCCAAGACGGCGAACCCACCCACAGTCAGAGCGCTGGTCCTCCTCCTCCTCCTCCTCCTCCTCCTCCTCCTCCTCCTCCTCCCCCTCCTCCTCCTCCTCCTCCTCCTCCTCCTCCTCCCCCTCCTCCTCCCCCTCCTCCTCCTCCTCCTCCTCCCCCTCCCCCTCCCCCTCCCCCCTCCTCCCCCCCCTCCCCCCCCCCCTCCCTCCTCCTCCTCCTCCTCCGCCTCCTCCTCCTCCTCCTCCACCTCCCCCCTCCTCCTCCTCCTCCTCCTCCTCCTCCTCCCCTCCTGCTCCTCCTCCTCCTCCTCCTCCTCCTCCTCCTCCCTCCTCCTCCTTCTCCTCCTCCCTCCTCCTCCTCCTCCTCCTCCTCCTCCTCCTCCTCCTCCTCCTCCTCCTCGGGCGGGGGATTGGGGAAAAATGGGGTCAGGGCTAGCCCCAGGTTCGCGTATCGGGGCCCCCGCGGACTGAAGTCATCTTGGATCACTCGGGCGCCCAACCATTCCCGAGCCATCGGGGCTGGGAGTGGTCAGGGCCAACCCCTGGTTCGCGCCTCGGGGTCCCAGACCAGAGTTGTCCCGGACTGGAGTCCTCCCGAATCACCCGGGCGTGCAACGCATGCGGGGTGCCCCCTCCCGCTCTCCCCGCTGCCTTGCGCCCCCCACTCCGCCTCGTCGCGGCGAGATGTCGACGGGAGGTTATTCGCCGTTTGCGGCCTCCAGGCGACGCCTCTGGGGGCCGAAGGCTTGCGAACAGTTTTTGTTTACGACGAGCGGGGTCTGGGGTCAAGCCCTCCCTGCGCCCCCGTCTGGCCCCCCCAGGGGGGGAGGCAGCGCTCGCTCTCCCGTTTCCCCAGGCGTCTCCCCCCCTCCTTCCCTTCCAGTGCCCTGGCCATTTTATTTCTCCCGCCCCCCCCGACCCTTCCGCGCCGGGAGCTCGCCCACCCCAGCGTTCGGGGCCGTGGAGTGATCGTGCACTGCAGCGCTCGCTATCAGGTCCCCGGCGACGCGAAAAGAATAATGGCGGCGGGTTCGGCGGGTTTTCCGTTTGGATCCGGCTGGGGGTCTGAGCTCAGTGGCCCATTAGTGGCTCCGGCGAGCAGGAAGTGTGGGCAGGTTCGAGGCGCTGGTTTCGGCAAGGTTGGTTACATGTCTCGGCCTTGAGGGGCCTCGCGACTGTCAAAAACTGATCTGGGGTGAAAAAACTGCACATGGACCTCGGGAGGGGTCCGGGGACAGGTTTGGAGCGGATCTGGCTTCATCCCCCCCCTCCTGAACGATCTCCTGGGGCCCCAATCAATTCAGACCCCCCAGCCGCCTCCGAGGTTCTTCGTAGTTTAGTTGGCGGCGCGCAGATGGGGGCAGGGGGAGGGGGGAAGGCTTCTTAGAAGGAGGCTGCTTCTAAGCCTTCCCCCCTCTCCCATAACCCCCTTCTGCGCTCCGCCAATTTACTTGCGTTAAGCCTCTGGAGGCTGTTTCGTGGCCCCGGGGCCTCGACTCAGGATGAAAGTCTGCCCCTGGGGAAGCGGTCGAAGCCCCAGGGGCCCAACGGAATTCGGGGTGGCATTCCTCAGCAACCAGTCCCAGAGCTCCAGCGCGCCTCATTGCTGCTGTAGAACACCATCACGCCGCGAACAAGCTGCAGCGTCGGAGGGGAGGGTCCCTGCCAACGCCCTCTTCTCCCGCGGGGGGGTGGGGGGCGCGCAGCTGCAGTCTCGCCCCCCTGTTTGCCAGCTCTCCCCCCTGTGCACGCTGACGGAGATCACCTGACTCTGGATGAACCTCCCGATGGTGATGCCCGCCAGTTAGACACCACATTCGCCCGAAATTGCAGCCTCCGAGATGCTGGCGTCCAGGGAGCACGCGGCGATCTGCATGGAAGCTCCTCTGGTCGGCGACCTCGCTGCTCCCCGTGTGATCCACCCCGACTTGAGATCCCCCCCCCTCCTCCTCCTCCTCCTCCTCCTCCTCCTCCTCCTCCTCCTCCTCCTCCTCCTCCTCCTCCTCCTCCTCCTCCTCCCCCTCCTCCTCCCCCTCCTCCCCCGTGCCCCGCTCCGCCCGGTGCTGCGAGCGCCGCTTCTGGGACGGGTGGGAAGCTTGCGCGCCCCCCGGCGGCGCGGGACCTCTGGTCATAACCGAAGGGTCGGCGTTGCAACGATAGCGTGCGGTGTGGCGCCGCTGGCCCCGCTCACGACAGGCCATCCCCCACCTCGGGGACAGCGTGCAGCGAGGAAGCCCTGGCAGGGGGGATGGCGTGCACCTATGCTGTGCCCTCGCACGCCCTGGCAGAGGGGGATGTCGTGCGCAGAGGGGGCCCTCGCGGAGGGATCGCCTCACAGGGACAGCGTGCTTCTCGGAGATCGACGCCGCACGCCATCTCTGCGGCGCCATTGGCATATCCTAGCACGGGCATATAACAGTTATGGTTATCGGGCCAGGGTGCGCATGTCTTGCGACACCCGAGCTGGCGACGACGCTCGGCGAGAGACACGCGGCCTCACCAGCGGGACTTGCGGGCCGTGGGGTACCGTTTCGTATCTGATGCATTCTTGGCCCTCTGGTGCCGAGGCCGCCCCAGGCCGCTCGCCTCGTGCGCTGCCCCAAGCGCTCCGGGGGGCCGCGGGCCTCAAAGGCAGCGTGGGGGGGGGGAACCGCCTCGGGGGAACGCATCGACCTCCAGTCGCCCAGTCTCGTAGTTCACCCCGCCCACGACCGTGCTGTTTCGCCATCGGGGGCCCATCGCCGATCTATCGGCGATGTGTTGCCGGTTCCAGCCCAACGCCCCCCCCCTGTGCCGGTCACCTCCCAACGTTCCCCCTCGGGGGGGCGGGGACGCGCCGGCTCCTTCCCGACAGGCTTCTCCGTGGCCGCCAGCGGGCTGCTGCTGTGCGGCATGGGCGTCGCCGAAGGCCCCCCCCGCCTCTCCCCTGGCGTTGCAATTTCTTCTGTCGCATATCATGAGGCCCGTGCATGTCCTGGTCATCCGTTAGAGTGCATTAGATTCGCGTGCGGTGGCGTCTGGTAATGTATAAGGAAGCGCCGATCTAGCGTCGGTGAGCGTCGATTTGGCGCCGATGATCGTGACGTCTACCCCAAGGGATATCGACCACTTCCCGGGGCCAGGTTTCCCTGACGAGCGCTCCTCGACGGGCCCCTGGAGGCCGCGGAGCGGCCCTCCCGGGGGCCGAGAACGCTGAGAGGCTGGCCGTCACGGTTCCGCCGAGCGCCGCCCGGGTCTCTTGAGCCCAGGCCTCTCAGATGGGGTCCGAGCAGACGGGGTCGGAGGGTCGCGCCGCATCGCCGACGCATCGGTGATGCGGCCCGATGTGGGGCCGAATTTTCTCCGCGCTGCTGCGCCGCTGCGTCGCCGACGTCGCTGGTGCAGTCCGATGGTGCATCGGCGATGCATCGCCGATGCATCGGTGGTGCGGCGCGATCCTCCGACCCCACCGCTCGGACCC